TTTATTAAATTTAGTTACAATAGAATTAAACGTACAATATAATGGTTGGCATTAATATAATATACATTATTGCTGACACAAATAGTAATTGGCCCCGACACACAACAATGATGTTACGATGATCAATGCTGTGCCCCGCCCCTTCCGGACAGAATGGTTCCGATTATCATTCTAAATAAATAGTTATAGGTTCAAACTTCGGAGGCTTAGGTTTTGTGTGCTGAAAATGATTGAGAAAATATAAAACATATATACTATCTTGTAAAGAAACATGAGTATTTTAAAAATATATATATATATATATTGATTGATATATTATAAGTTGACCCGAGAGCACGGAGCAAGAACGGGGTCCCGGGGCGATGCTACGTGCCCGAGCCGGCCGCCTCGGTAGGAGCTCGGCCGCGTTGCCCGGTCTCCAGACCGGGCACGGTCAAAGCGGGGATATATAACCGTTTCTTCCGATTCAGGAGTGCAGTTAGGAGGCCCGTGGCTTGTATAAAAAGCTTCCCTTTGTCCAATTAAGACACGTTCACTAACTCTACTACCTTTGTCCTAACGAATCATTGTAATAGCCTATTTACGGCATTTAATATAATATTCGGTCCCCGCGACCGACATCATTATGTCCTTTACTATTTACGCTTTTATCTGAATTTAGTAATTCAGATCATCCTGAGTTAATTAAATCCATGATATATACATCGGAAGAGTTGCAAGTTGAAGAAGATAGGAGGTCGTCATCTTTTGGATCTCTAGCTACGAAGAGGAAGCAACAGTATAGTACGTGGTGGTTTGTTGGTTTCCCAAAAGTAGTACAAAGTTAGAAACCCAACACATAATTTTTGGTGTTTCCTCCGTGAATTTAAAACGCATCCGTGCAGTGGGACCGGACCTTCCTTCTATGATCCCAATCAGATCAGAGCCGCCACCGCCGGCCACCTCCTTCCTCCGCCGGCCATAGATAAAGTAGTTGTTGAAGGAGAATGATAATACGCCCATAATTCTGGAAATTAAATTGTATTATATCTTGGTAGTTATATTTAGTACATGTATAGTAATATATATATTACATGTACTATATGTTTTATTTATAAGTTAAGATAATATTTAGCCGTACAAAATATACTATAAACACATGTAAACATATTTAAGGTTGTTCTCCTTGAAATTAAGGTTGGTGATGAGAATATATGGAGATATTTAGATTAGTTGATCAGACATCCTAAGTGTTTCCTGTTGAGCCATTAATGTGCAATCCAACTATAAGCTTAAGCTTTTAGTTGAGATGGAACACATGCTTCAATTTCTTTTAAGTATTTTGTCTTGCTTGGCCTGAGCTCGAGCCAGCTACTTATTACTCAATAAGGAGGTTGGTAATTAATTTTCAACACTTCTCTTTAGTATTATTTTTTCTTATATATACTCATCCAAAAAATGAGAAGTCCTTCATCCTAGACTCTCATATCTTGACCCGATATAATTGTGGAGGGATTCTTTCTTCTTATATGATCTCCATACTCTCTTGATAATCTGTCTTAGCTTTATTCTTAATTTTCTTTCTCGTTCTTTATTCTGATCGAAGTCATCACTCAATAAAAGCAATATTGAGATACGAGATAAGAGAATAGGAGATTCCATTAGAGGCTAGGGATGATGGGATGGAAGCAAAAGTCATTTGGCATATGAGTGAAGATCGAGAGAATCGTATGTAGTTTAGGTAGCTTAGGGGCAATAATTGATGGAATTGAAGCTAAAAGATTGATGTGAAATATGCCCACAATAATAATGAATCCCATTTTACCAATACATTGCCGCAACATCGCAGCGCAGTTTGTCCACTCATCAAAATTAAACAATTCGGTTACACGTTGTTTTCCTATTAATCATTCTTACACACATCACATCAACCACTTTGTCCTCACTAAACTTTATGTATCTGTTCTAAGTTTATATAGAAATAAATAAATTAAGTTGATCTAATTTTTCAATATTCGTGACAATAATCAAATATTCATTATGCCACTGAAAGCAAGTTTATTATGCATGCACCTCATGAACCCGCCTCAAACTCTGAGAATCCGGCCTATCTCCCGGTTGACTTCTGGCAAGGTTTGAACTCATGCTTCTTTTTTCTTTTTGGGTATACTCAGGGTTTCCGAACACAGTGACTAATTCCCTTGCTGGATTGTAGGCACCTCTTTTAGGTAAGACAGCTGGCCTGGAGATTTAAAGTTACTCCATTCCTAAAACCAATGATCAAACCCTTATCTCTGGTTAAGGCTGAACTCATGCTTCTGAAAATGAGTTTTAAATACAACTTCTTTGTCATATTCTTCCTCCATTATATTTTTCTCTCTGGTTTCCCTGTCGTTTTCGTCATCCATCACGTACCCACTGAGGCACAAGAAAAGCAGGGGCACACACCCCTTTCTGATTTTTCCCTATGTGATAATACAGTTCGGTTAGTACACAACTGCGTACGTACAGTCCGGCCAACCATCCACGTGGCTGATTATACACCACCAAATCTTGGGTCATTGGTGGGGACGTTTGATATGATCTTATGGTGCATTACATGCTACTGTCAACATTATGCAATTAATTCTGAGATTGGAATATAATTCTTTCCGATATAATGTATATACAAATAACTAAAATTATATTGTAATAATATAGTAGGGGTGAAGTTATGTAGTACCAAGAAAGTACATGGTGCTATGTACTATGGTTGGTCTTTTTACGATTGGTTTCTGTATAATTGTTTGAAAGGACTTTTTGATCATTTATTTTTTTAGACCGAGATGAATAGGACACCTAAAAACAATACTTTAATTACAAGTAATTGAAACAAGTATAGGCCATAAGAAAACTATGTCATCTTCCTGTAAAATTCTCCAAAGAGGAAGGGGATGAACATCCAACACCCTCAAATCACAATGAACTTGGAGACAACTTTTTGCCAAAACATTAATTAACTCTACAATGTACAATTTATTTATCAATATTTCAATCAAGACGAATGAACACCTAAAATCAAAACTGTAGTTACAAGTAGTTGGAATCAGTATACGCCAAGAGAAACTCATGTAATCCTCCTATAAAATTCTCTGAAGAGTGAAGAGGAAGAAGAGAGAGATACAACACCTTCAAGTCAGAATGAACTTGGGGTGAACCTATTGTCAAAAAAAAAAAAAAAAAAAAAAAAAAAAAAAAAAAAAAACATTGTACCATTTATTTATCATTATTTTAACAAAGACGAAAGGGACACCTAAAAACAATACTCTCTAGTTACCAGTAATTGGAACTAGCCCATAAAATTCTCTGAAGAGGAATGGAAGGAACATCTAGCACATTCAAAAACACGATAAACTTGAAGAGAACCATTCGCCAAAAAATAACAGCCCTACAACATACAATTTATTTATCATTATTTCCATCAATTGGTAACATTTAATGGTGGTTGTTGGTGCTTAAAGAAAAGTCCGCCAATGCACAAATGCTCTCATGGAGAATGCATGACAATTAAGGTTTAAAGACAATTATGCATATGGACTGTGAAAGTTGTACTATAGTTGGGACTTAGGACCCAACAACACTTGGCCTTAAGCTATCATATCCTTCCATGAAATTTCCTAGTCAAGACTCAAGAATGGGACCATTCTTTTAGATGCATGTGACTCACACCTGCCATATATATATGGTGATGAGGGGCTCAACCTCTTTCACTCACATTGCAACAAAACTTCAATATCTTTGGTACAGTCACTAGAGAAGTCCCCTTTTCTTTTAGGTTACTTTTGGAAAATCACTCAAAATGGTGCACCATTTTAATAACTCCAACTAGTAGATTTTTTAGATGGAGGTGTAAAATTTTAATACAAGCGATAAACCGCTTCCACAACTAATACTTTAATTTAACCATCACCGTGGTAACTATTTCAAGTACAAATGATCAATTACATTAACCCTCCACAAAGTGAACAAAAGGTCCTAATGACAAATCTTGATGCCCGAAAACAAACTACAAGTAGAAGTATTGGTAAGTCAAATTTGAGATAAACATAGAAATGAAACTAGCAAGGATGCCTGGAAGCAATCTACAAGCAATTATTAAGAACTGAATCAAGGTAACCATATAGATAAAACAGGAGCAATCAACTAGCAAGGTACAATTAATGCAAGACAGGGTAATATGGACAAACAAATGTACTAACTAGCTAGGTCAATGTTGTAGTTTTTAACAAGTGACAATAACAATAAATTGACACAGCATAATCCCAAAAGATAGTATTAGCAAGAACCTTATAATAAGAATATATAATCCCAAAATAGCTAGCCTATAGGCCAATTTTGACTTATTTGATCACTATTAGTTGTTTGACTTTGTTTAAAAATCAATATCAGTGTTTGGTTAATTAGTTTTTTGTACTCCAAAATGTTAAAATTCAAAAAGTTACTCAAAGCAACTTTTTCAATTAGTTTTTTGAGAAAAGAAATTATACCAAACAGCTAACAGCTAATTTACCAAACACCTTTCTACAATCAGCTAATTTTATCAATTAGTTATACCTTCTAATTAACCCAATCAGCTAACAGCAATTTATCAAACAGGGCCATAGTATCTTATACTAGTAAAATTTTAGCCTTTTAGGTATCATATATATATGATAGAATTTCCCCAGTTACCAAAGTGATAAGAACAGTACAATGCAGCAATAGAAGTGGAAGCAAAAGCTCTGGAGCACGTTTGAACACGTCACAGACAACATGTACAATTGTTGTGACAAATTTTCCAGCAAGGCAACTCCCAGTCTTTAACATTTTCACTCTTTGGACTCCTTTGTGGGCGTCCTCAAAGAAGGAAATAATTAGATAGTACCTGGAGTGCCTTCCCACTGGCAATAAATGACAGATGGCTGGTACAGTTATTGAACCTTTAATGACTGTTTGCTTTCCGACCTTTTTCCTGGGTTGCTGGGCACAGATAAAGTACACAGGAAAAAGGCAAGCATAGCATTAAGGATAAGAATGTATTTAATAATGCAAACATATACTACATGATGCAGAGAATGTTTATTAAGCATTTCTTTGTCAAATATTCAGCTCAGTGGAGTCATATATAGAAGGTGGAGACAACTCAAATCATCTTCATTTACCTATGGAGGATACAGTAAAAGCTATCTTAACCATGGTCAGATAAAACTTTGGTTTAGGCTGAGATGAAATGTTTTCTTTTAATGAGAAAGAATGCCCAATAAGAGCTAAATTTCAGTCCATGCCCAAAAAAAGCTGATTTCAGCCCTTTCTATTTTCATTGTTAATTTGTTAGTGGGAGTCAGAAAGTAGAGAGCAGAGACTGACAGTCAATGGCTCTAAAGTAGACTACAATTCACAACAGTGGTAGAAAATCTAAACTTTTATTTGTAAATTTAAAACTTCCATAGATACCAAATTGAACTGGTTCCACTTGTGGAAGATGGTGGTTTTGTCCTGAAAATTTTATGTTAAGAAACACAATTATTAACCGCTTAAAGCCTTACCAAAAGTACACTAAATATATTAAGAAAAAGAGTATTGATAAAATGCACATCAGAATCATACTCAAGAGCCACTGTTGCAAATGAATGTACAGCAGAGAACTTAAATAGTATCTATGTAGATGAAAATACTTCAATGACAATTATCAATACTTTGAGCAGAATCGCGCTATTAGTATTACTAATGGTCAAATACAAACTGAGAATAGAAAAATGCATATCCAAGGATGTATAAAGATTGAGACAAAGGATATACAAACTATAGGGCATAACAGAATCTTTTTTATGCAAATGCTCATGAATTTGGACAGATAGAACATAAGAAATGAGATGTATTTCATATTAAAAGCATTTAAAACTACAGAGCTTATATTAAAGAACCCCAGTTAACCAACACCACCCTTCAAAAAATTGGGCCTGCAAGCATAAAAAAATTATCTGACAAAAAGGTCTTAGCATGCAGTCAATAATTAACAGCCACAAAAGACCAGCAATGAAATCATTTAAAGTAAAAATAGAAGGCATCTGACAGAAAATTTCATACATCAAAATAGTAGATCATGGCTTTTGAACAGTCTTTTTTCTCCAGTGTTGTGCCTCTGAAAACTGTAGCATTTTATTGAAAAGAAATAGATTTTAGTTTTAAAAAATAAGAAGAAAATATGAGAGTCCTTGTACCAAGGAAAACTACTAAAGCTCTTAGTTCTACATGTCAGACATGGAAATCAATTACTCCCAGGTTAGACCTCCACATGTGGGGTAGAGGAGTGGAAGAAATGTGATTATTCAGATTTCAAAAATTAGAATGAATGAATGATTCCCTAAATGAATTTTATATGGAACTCTAACCCTCCCTACTTGTTAGATCCAGATGAAAAGGTATTATTCTAATAACATCAAGTCTCCCCAGAACAAAGAAAAGGATGGGGAAGGGAAGGAAGAGCATCTGAAGAAAATTGATCCAATCCACACACCCTACCTGGCAATACAGTATCTTCATTACATACTGCATGTACAGGAGACCATGTAAGCAGCAGCTAACTGTAATTCTGTTAGCACTATTTCTGCTCTCATATTTGTTTATTGGATGTGTTTTCCATATCATTTTCTTTCTATTCAACAAAAAAGAACTTACAAGAAAACTTATCTACAAAATGAAGAGAACTAGACAAGCCCCAGCTATCACTCTTTCCAATTATAAGGTGCACGTTCAACAACCAAGTAGTCTCCCCTAATATCTTTCACAACCCGAATTTCATCGTCAAGGTACACTGTGTCAAACCTATAAAACAAAAAAATCATTTCAGACAATCAATAGGATACAACCAAAATAGTTGAGAAAGTAGAAAACAACATAATTCCAGAGAAAGACTGTTAAACAAGAAAATTAAAACCGAAATACAGTGACAATGTTAAACAAGAATGTATCTCAATCAGTACTTATGAAGAGATTTTTAGCAGTGTAGAAGAAAGTTGAAACAAACTCTTTAAGTTAGTAAACAAAATTAAACTATATTCAGCAGAGTTTGAAAACCAATTTTCTTCACCTTTTTATGACGTTCAACTTAGAAAAATTCAACAGGCAACATTCAATCATAGAAATCATCAAGAATCAAGATCAAACACTTACCATCCTTGCCCAAATGGTGGCAAAGGGAACTCCCAACCCTTTCCACGCAGAACTGCACTTGTGAACCTCCAAAAGCCATTGAACAAAGTAGTTAGCAAACCACCACATTGTACAGATTGAACATCTTGGTTACTGGTTAGTGACTAGCTATATCCAAAAGCAGTGTTGAATACTTTATGTTATGAATTTAATATATCCCAAGAGTTGCTTCAGCTTTTAAATCAAACAAAAAAGGAGAGTTGTGGCCGCAGCTTCTTCTTCCGACTAGATGAATTGATACACAGTGCACAACTTTTTTTTTATTCTCTTCAATAATTGCATCAAGTTAAACTAAGAAATTCAGTTTGTGTGAGGGTAGTAGTACACAACAACTATAGAGTGGGAGACCAGTAGGATATCTGAGAGTGCAATACATCATGCCCTCCACATAAATTTGATCTTGGCCACAATCAGTATTCTTTGTGAATCACTAGCCATATCCATCCACGATCCTTGAGTCAATAACTGTGCAAAACAAGTAATTATGAATTTATGATCTTTGCCACTTGACTGGTTGTCTGGATATCAGAAGCACCACCTTCAACAAAAGCAGAAGGATTGACAACTTGAGTTGGAAACTCTTGGTTGTTGGTATACTTTAGCAGGTAGAGACAATGCTGTCCAGTTTATGGTGTAGGTCAGAAGAATGAAAATCACCAAGCATGAATCAGCATGATGCTAAACCTCCAACCATTCAATTATATGGTTCTGTCATATTCTTGTTTGATTGCATCCCTCCGTGTCACAATGTAATTCATACTAGCATTACAACGTATTAATTCAGACAGGGAAAAATGAACTGTAATGTACACTAACAATATCCTTTTAGTACTACGAACAATTGATAGCTTTAATTCATGTCTGATGCAGTTATATGGAAAGCAGCATTAGAAATTATTTGAATTCAAAAAGCATACCAAAAGCTAATAGGACAATTGGACAAAATTGGTATTCATAGACAATACATGTGCAATACAGTATACAACTACGGCAGGGATATCTACCTGAAATTAACTCGCTGCGAGGAAGCAACTTCGATGTTGGACCGAACAAAAAAGACGCCGTCAGGAGGGAAAGTGATGACATTATTGAGAGTCATGTTCTCGACATCGATGACCTGCAGAACATCACCCGCTCGAGTACCAAAAAGCGGCGCGTTCTTAATGATGAAGAGCTGCTCCTTCTCGGTAGTCCAAAGCAACCGCCACGTGGCGGAGAGGGAGCTGCCGGTGGTAACGGTGTCTCGGCCGGCAGCGGCGACGTCGTCAATCGCGGAGACTATCTGGGAGAGCTTTTGGGAGTCGGATTGAGTCCTCAGGCCACGGTCCTGGTCGGAGATGAGACGGAGGAGGTTGTCCTTGGCGGTTAGGGATCGATCCGTTAGGGAGAAGCGAGTCGCGGTGGGGGACCTGGCGGACTTCGAGTTGTAGGGAGCGAAGGAGGTTGGAGTGGCGGGAAGGGAGAGGCATGTAGCCATGCTTTTTCGGATCTGAGATAGTTGGGCTCTGGTCTTTGGACTTTGGGAAAACAAGTGGCCGTTATGTGTTTCATCCGTTTGGCATCTATGACGGGGGACTTAGGCCACAATATTGGTCCAGTAACTATTCAACTTGTCTTAATTGTAACATTTGACTTTCAAAAATATTAATTTAGTATCTTGACTAGTAATTTTTATCAATTTAATCATGCCGGTCAAATTACCAATCAAATGTAATCCAAAAATTTTAAATCAACAATTAATCTTAAATGGAAAGGGCAAAGTCATCATTTCATGTTATATCCAATCACATTTTACCTTTGTTTCCTTTCTTCTCCGACGAGCTACATGTTTCTGGCCAAAGAAAGGAACTCAATCCCTTCCGGATGTTTCCAATCCCTTTTGGAATTACTCTATCGAATTGCAGTAAAAATTGAAACAAGCTGAACGTGATAAAATAAAATAAAATAAAAATGAACCTTCCAATAAGAAATGCAGTGCATCATCGAAAAATGCAAGAAAATGGAGGCTCAGACCTAGGTCATGATCATTCGCTATGCAATGCCTGCGAGATTCGGAGCCGCAAAATGAGAAGAGCGCTTCTAGGTCTCAACAAAGGCAACAAGAAATCAAAGAAATTGGCCACATGCAGCTCGAGAGACAGTAGCAGTAGCAGCAGCGCCGGGGGAGGGGGGTGATTTTGGTCAACAATCGCTTTCTCAAACACGAAAAGACGAATTTACCCCTTCCAATTCAGTTCAATTGTTAAGTTAAAATTTCAGGATTTTGTTATTAAATATATAGTACAGATAGATTGATTGATTTCAATAGGATTGTCAAGTTAAAATTTCAGGATTTTGTTATTAAATATATAGTATAGATAGATTGATTGATTTCAATATGAATTGTATTACACTATTTTATAATATTAGAATAAAATTTTAACGCAAAATTATTGTACGAATGGGAAAGTAGAAATCAATATATTTTAGTAGGAAGAGATTTTTTTAGGAATTGGATGGGAAGTTAAAATTTCAGGATTTTGTTATTATATATAGTACAGAATGATTGATTACAATAAGAATTGTATTACACTGTTTTATAATATTATAATAGAATTTTAACGCATAATTATTGTACGAATGGGAAAGTAGAAATCAATATATTTTATTAGGAAGAGAGAACTTAAGATTTTTCGATCACATTTGGCCGGTAATTTGGCCAGCGTGACCAAAATTAATAAGAATTGCATATTTAATGTACTAAATTAACATTTTTGAAAGTCAAGTGTTACAATTAACACAAGTTCAATAGTCAGTAGACCAAAATTGAAATTTACTCTTATTATGGGTGAAGGAGCATGCAATTCTAAGAGATTGAGAGGAAAATACTACAATTGAGTTCGAAGGATTGCACCACCAACTCGAGTTTACAAGCCACTTTCATGATCAAGCAAACTTGCCATGTAGATGGGAATTGCCTCACTTTTCATGATGCATCAATTCCCCTACAAGCTCTAAGTCCTAACTTTATTACTTTCATAGAGGAATAATGGTTGGGTTGCAAACAATGACTATGAGAATGTCAATCAAACTCTCGTTGCGATTGAATTTCATACCGATAATAATGTTAATAATGTTGTGCACCACACATCAATACAATAATACATGTAATTTGTCGGTATGGGCAGCTCAATTGGTCATAGGATGAAATTTGAGATTAACAAAGAATACGCGTAATTTTCTACACATTAGGAACCCTATATTGTTTTTTTTTTTTTTTCCTTTTATGCAATAATCATCAAATAAACATTGAATAACAAGCACTTCTCAACCAATTTATAAATAGGATTACTCACACATATTAATGGTAAAGAAAACAAAAACACGTATAAAATACGTTATCATTAAAGCTTTAAAGAAAAAAGTAATGAATAGACTTATCTTCAAAATGAATGATTCAACCAAGCTGTTTGAAATATAATATCCAATGCAATCTTCACAAAAGTAAAATTAACAATAATGTATATCTCTATTTGCAGTATAATATTTTCTTTGGAAAATAAAGGAAAAGTCTCTCTACTACCTAGGGTTCAAATCCCGTTTCACAAATATGAAAATATGATATAATACATATAAAAGAAAACATGTAACAGGGACAGACGCACAAGCCATGACATGGGCATGTCACCGCCCACCTGTGCGAACAACGCTTTTTTGAGTTGGAGTGTTTAATTACACATTTTAAAAGTTCAATGGTTTAATTACTTTATCGTGTAAAGTTTAATGAATTATTTGACCATTTCCCCTTAACCAAAAATGGGTGTAGACTGTATATTATGACACTTTATTTATAGCTTTGCCAACTTCTATTTACTGGGTTGTTTTTAACCAGCTTGATATATTGAGCCGAAGTATTATCTAAGTAATATAGTATGTTTTATTATATATGTGAAAAACATGATATAAGAAAAAAAAAAAGTTAAATAATCTACATAAGTGAACTTATTAGTACAATTGAGCTCCTTAACTACAAACAAAGAAAAAAAAAAAGCTTCATTGAGACTCTTAACCTGGCAAAAAATAATACAATTGAGCCCTAATTTATATGTTCAATAGGTTACCATTGATTTAGTGATGATTGATGACTAGTCTCCTGCTTATGCTATTTTTGTGATGTGGCAATGACTAAACATAATTTTAAAAAATTAGATGTTACGTAACTGTCACATTGAGTTTCAACTTTCAAGTAAACACCACATTAAAAAAAAAATAACATAAGTGAAAGCCTAGTCAAAGTCAACACTAAATCGATAAAATTAGGGTTCAATTATACTTTTTACTGATTTAAAGTCACTCAACGAAACTAAACTTGTAGTTAAGAGACTCAATTATATTATTTAATTTACTTTAGATACTTATTTAACTATTTTCCCTATTATATTACTTTAGTAATATACTGTATTTATACCTTTTTTTTTTTTCTTGTCACTACACCCAATAGGTTTGTACTTCCGATCAACTATATAACCCGGGTTCGTCGGGTCGGGCCAAAATGAAATAGTGTTAGCTTCAAAACCCATCGCTTCAAAAACCTCAGTTGCTCTGCCGAGGTTTTCAGTATACACAGCGCTTATTTCTTTCAAAGGTCGATCCAGGGTTTTTCCATCCTTCCAGAACCGTCTCCACCAACACTCACTCTCTCGATCTTCACACGGATGGCGCTTGCGGGCCAAACTCTCGATATTTCCGGCGAACGGCAGTCCGGCCAGGATGTCCGAACCCAAAATGGTAACCGCCGTCCCCGTATTTATGTGTATGAGCGAGATTTTGAGCTTTCATGTAAATCTTTCTGCATTTGGTTTATTCATTTGCTTTGTGAATTTGCAGTAATGGCATGCCAAGCAGTGGCAAACATCGTTAAGTCGTCACTTGGTCCCGTCGGGCTCGATAAGGTTGCTTCGCTCCCCCTATTTTCAGTCTGAGCATTTGCGTTTGTTCTGTGCACATACTCCGTAGTTGTTTAATTGTTTGTTTATAGTCACAGGAGTAGGTTTTTAGCACAATTACTGACAGAGACTTAAACTAGTTTTAAGGAATATTATTTGTCTCCAGATTGCCATATGTGCCAGTTAACTCATTGTTTTTAACATGGTTTCAATGTGAAGCTCACTTGAATTAAATTCTGTCCTGCCTGAGATTCTTTTCACATACATCTTAGAATGATTTTCTTGGTGTAGTTCAAAGTCATTCTTTATGTAAACTGATTCGTTGGTGGTTATTTCACCTGCCAGATGCTTGTTGATGATATTGGTGATGTAACAATCACAAATGATGGTGCTACTATTCTGAAGATGTTAGAAGTTGAGCATCCAGCAGCCAAGGTCACATTATAGAGTATTGTTATTATTATTTTTTTAATGGATAGGATAAGCATTATAGGCAAGCTGTATTTGATAATAATAGTGTCTCAAAATTGTAGGTTCTTGTTGAGTTGGCGGAGCTTCAAGACCGGGAAGTTGGTGATGGAACTACTTCTGTAGTCATCATAGCTGCAGAGTTGCTCAAGGTATTCATTTAAAACACGCAATGTTTGAGGAAAATTTTGACTACATTGCTGTACTCATAAATCATAGTAAAGTATCTCATTTTTGTTTTCACAGAGAGCAAATGACTTGGTGCGGAACAAAATTCACCCCACTTCAATAATCAGTGGATACAGAGTGCGTATTAAGTTCTAGTGTTTATTTCCCTTGCCAATCCCATTTCAAACAATGAGGTCCTATTTCACTGACAAAATCTTGATTCTTATGGTTTCTTTCAATTGTTTTTCCACTTGCTAGCTTGCAATGAGAGAAGCTTGTAAGTATGTTGAAGAGAAACTGGCTGTGAAGGTAATGTCTCTTGGTCATTTTGCTGAATGTTTGTCTCAGTATTCTGTTCTTTCTAGATAGTTCTTGAATCAAGTTATTTAAATGGCAAACTGTCAATTCGAGAAGCTAAAAGGTTGGCACTTTCCTGTTGGCTTTCTTTGTTAAACATTGGAAAGGGCTTCTTTATAATATATTATTGGGTAAAAGTCTAGAAGAATATATTACTCCTAGATCAACATTCTTTGGAAGTTGCTCTAGACAATACATGGTACTTTTTTATGATGTTCACAAGTTATCTATTTAGTTTGAAAATATCTAAAGGATTCTTTGATCTCAGTCATCTGACAACACTTTTTGTTATCTTGATAGGTTGAAAAACTTGGAAAGGATTCCCTCATAAATTGTGCCAAGACAAGCATGTCATCAAAGTTGATTTCTGGTGACAGTGATTTCTTTGCAAACCTGGTATGCTAATTGGTCATTTAGTCGTGGAATCATGTTTAGAATTGTAATTTGCTTCCTTTTGTGCAGACCTTGTATCTATGATGTAAAGGACAATATCTGCATAGTTGTGACACTTTTGTTAATATGTAGTGTGAATCCTTATTTGTCCTTTTTTTTTTTTTTTTTTTTTTTTTTTTTTTTTTTTTGTCTTTTTTCTTTTTCTTTCCCCCATCTGAAAATCATGAAACATGCCCCAATACTCTATTTTGCTTCCAGCTGTTTTATAATGTTAATCAGG